GAGATGCTACATGAGAATGTGCTTATGAAGGCCCGCGTACGAGAGCTTGAAGAGCAACTAGCAGAGGTAACAAAGCGCCGAGGGCGTAAAAGAAAGCGGATTCAGACAGGCGGGACACTAGAATTTGGTGCAGGAGCATCGCAGGCAGCTGAAAGTGCTTCTACTAGTCGTATAATATCAAAGAAAGCGCGTGGTGGGGGTAGTCAAGAAAAGGCCCAGCCAGGTCAACGGCACTGTGGAATCTGTGGGAGAGTGGGCCATAACGCCCGTACGTGCCAAAAAGATGTAGAAGAAGATTCTATGTTAGATGCAAGTGAGTCGTACGAAGCATCTATAGCTAGTGTAGAGTAATTCAAGTTTTCATATGTGATGTTCGCGATGCCAAGAAAAAGTGGCACACTCGGTGGGGTGGCACTCTCGGTGGTGGAATACGTTATAGAAAAGCTAACAATTTAAATATAATAATATAACGTGTTTCACCAGTAAGCGGGCCACCCCAGTATGTGGGCCACCTCCCCAAACTATTACATCTTTGTAATAGTATTGCGCAACACCACCACAATATTTTTTATTAAGTAGAATAAGATATTATTCTTCAGACGCATTACTATCCTCTATATCCTCTAATTCTACTTGACAAGTACGAGAGTTGTGTCCAATTTGGCTGCAACGCCCGCAGCGCCGTTCACTACGCACCCTCTTCGCAGACGTTGCACCATCATTATAGCTACCACCCTCTGCCTCAGCGATCTAATCAGCTATCTAGCCAACTGTCTAGGACCCCTCTGCCTGTACGTAGCGCCTCTTACGAGTTTTTCGCTTCGTTACTTCAGTAATCGTAGCTTTAAGGCAATCAAGTTTCTCCTGCATTAACACTATATTATAAGCTATTTGCTAAGCTCTCTTACTTAACTGCTGTATCTACTCCTTAAGAGAACTTGTAGGAGACCCTTGCTAGATTTGCATACGGTTTTGAATAAGCGTAGCCTGCGCCTCCATTTCGCGCGCGTTGCGCGGCGTTTTCGGCTCCCAAGCAGTAGTCTCTTGCGCTGGTGGAGTTGGCGTACGCAGCATGACGTTAAGCTGTGATAAAACAACGTTATAATCGTGCGGTAAAAGTCTAGCACCTCAGAACCCTCTGCGGATATTTTCTAGTGTAATAGCCTTATAATAGGCCTTTTTAAACGCTAGTAGGAAGGTTTCTTTGCTAATATAGTAGATGCGATTGCGTGCTAAGACCAAGATAGCATCACCATACGCGCGCTTTAACGGCGAGAAGCAGCCCACATCAAGAGGCTGTAAGAGGTGCGACGAGTGGGGAGGCATACAGAGGAGGATTATCTTCATCTCTTCGCAGAGATCTCGGAAATCCACCGAGCAGTGGCTCTCATGGCTGTCAATAATAAGCAGCCTATGCGTCCCCACAGGCCGCGCATAGGAATCAAAGTGACGAAGCCAGTCAAGCGCTAGATCGTTGTTCGTCCAGCTAGTAGGACTAACTTAGATCACCTAGTCGCGTGGCAGATCCTCTGTGAACTAGGTAGAGATTAGAACCTTGCCAGCAAAGATAAGAAACGCTAGGATACGCGTGCCTGTTGCGCCAACGCCTTGTATCAGCGTAACCCACTCACGATTGCCTAGCTGGATCTTCTTTGTTCTCCCTGGTTTGTCTGAGCCCGTGATAACTAACTGTGATAAAATCTTGCCTATAATAAAGCCAGTCTCATCAAAGTTATAGATATCTTCGTCCACGATACCATACTTTGCCTTTATATTCTAAACTAGCTTAAACTAGCCCTTAATAAGCGCTAGGTCTTCGCAGAGAGCTCGCTGGTGATTGTATGGACGGCTCCGGCGCGTACGCAGCTCAGGATTGCGCTGGACAAACCTATCAACCCAGTTCTTGCCCACCTCCTTCCCGCCACGCTCTCGGAGCAGTCTGTTGGCCATATCTCGCACGTCGTCTTTCCCACAGGGTAGTCCTTGCTTAGCCTCGACTATTACACGCATAGTAATAGCCTCCTCTTCTAGTTTTGTTAGGCGCCTTGCTGGTGGCTCCCAATCGCTTCGAGGGCGCTGTCCAGCTCGTCGACGCTGGATTGTTGTTCGTGGGACGCTATAGGCGGCAGCAGCGCGTCGTTCACTCTAAATTTGTTTAGAATTAAGATTAGTAATAGCAAGAAATAGATCTGCTTTAGTATAAGTTTTTAACGCGTTGCGTTGTTAAGACATTACGCGTTGTTGTTGCAAAGGTGGGATATCATAGGGAAGTGGCCCACATACTGGGGTGGCCCGCTTACTGGTGAAACACGTTAGCGATTATAGAATAACAAAGCGCTAGTAGTCAATAAGCGCTAGTGGTAACGCCATCCAGCCACGTCGTCTTCACAGATTACTTTGCAATCCCAACTTCATATATAGTCAAAGTCTTGTGGGATATCGATGGTAATCGTGTCTGCTTACTTTTCTTCTAGAACAGAGGATTAGGATGTCAGATGTGGGGCTTCATGCCATAGCCCAAAAAAGGAGGCTGTTTCTGTGGGAAAAAAGTGTGTTCATCGGCTTGCTCTCTTTTTGACTCTAGCAATTGTTACTTTATGAGGGGTGGGGATACAAAAAGCGTTGTCCTTTTAAGTACAAAGGGTCTAAGTCTTCAGCAGTTGGATGAGGGGTTGGAGGAAATGGTGCAAAGCGGTATCTTGTCTGTTTCCGCCAGCACTTATAATCATGAACATTGGAATTGTCGCTGAAAGAAGAGTTGTTGAGCTAGCCAAGGCTAAAATAGAGACACAATAAGCCCTCTGCTATTAGTGAGACAGCAATGCGATGCTGCAGCGGAGAAGAAAGGTAGGTATTAATCCCGACAATCAATCAGCGGAGATGCACAGGCAAACGTAGCAGCGAAGGGCTGTTGTGATTCCCAAAGTCTAAGCAATTTGAATACACTGATTAAACCCAGCCCAACTATCCTTGGACCACGGGGCCAACACTATCGCCCTCTGAGCGTCACTGACATCGCCAGTACTATGCATCGCACTAGCCAGGCCAGTAGCACCAAGTGTGCCGTTAGGAGGTGCGTTGCGCATTGCTGTTTCTCGTGAGAGGGTGCTTGCGAAAAGATTGCCACCAGTAGCATCCGCAAGTTCTGCCCAACCCGTATGTTTATACGGTGCTAGCATAACGCTTCTCCGTGCTTCATCCATATCTTGTTGCTCGCCGCCGAGACTAATGGATATGGCTTCTACAACTTTTTCTACGCGCGCGAGTTGTGCGTCGCTAAGTTCCTTGTTTGTGCGCATGCGGCCGAGATCATCCTTTATGGCTTCCATGGTTTCAAGATCGTCGTCCAAAACAGTCATGGCACCGATAAGTGTCAGTAAACCAACATGACCATCGTGTTTCTCAATGGCAGTGAAGAGCTGATCGCGAGCCACTTGTTTCTCGTTCTCACCGCCTTTCGCCCAGAGAACTTCTGCGAGAAGACATATGATGTCCGGATTTGAACCAGTCGCCTCCAAAGAAGCGCGGAAGTAGGATATCGCTGCGTCAAAGGAGCCATTGAAGTAATGTGCCAATCCAGCTGTAAGACGGGCAGACAGTTTGGTCTTTGCAAGCTGCTCTTTTGACAAAGCAGATTGCTTGGGATTGCTTTTCAGCTCTGCAAGTAGGACGAGGGCTGTCTCGGCATCGTCTACCGCCATTTCGTTGGATCCGACGGCCAGAAGATTGCGAGCCAAGTCCGTCTTAGCTTGCGCAACGCGGGCCAGGGACGCGAGCGACTCTGACTTCTCGTACTCTTGCTCAACGCTTTCATTGACCATTTCAAGAGCATGTACAGCTGCCCCATAGTTTCCGATGCGCTCGAAAAACAATGCTCCGAGATGTCTGTACGGCATGTCGTGTGGCACCTGTATGCTTAATTGCTGAAGCGCGAACAGCGGCTGTATGAGGCTAGTAATGTCGCTTGAAGATGACGGGGAAGACACAAGGAAGTCAAAAGTGGAAATTGCATACTGCCGCTTAGGGAGCAGTAGCGACGACTCGGAGAGTTCAAATGCATGAGTGAAGTGGGAAAGCGCTTCGTTGGCATCGCCGGTGAGGAGTGCAATGATACCCTCGCCTACCCATGCTAAAGGATAGTCGGGATCCTGTGACTGGGCCCGCGAAAAGGCTGCATGCGCAAGTTCGTGGTCATTCTGCAAAAGATAGAGTGCGCCAAGGTTAGTCCATGTGTGCACACTACGCTCGTTAAGATGCAACGACCGGACAAAGGCGTGTTGAGCAACCTTTGGGCTGAGGGTCGTGGTGATGACACCAAGTGAGTTCCAAAACTCCGAGTTGCCAGCCTCAAGCTCTATAGCACGCTTGAAGCATTTCATAGATGCTCGGAGGTATGTGGTAAGCTTGGTCTCTTTACCACCTTCTTGTTCTAAGCAGACGTGCGCTCTGTACTCAGTCCAGCCGAGATTGTACCACGCTACAGCCTGTGCGTGTATGTCATGAGCACAGCTCGAAATGGCTCGTTTTTGAGCAAGTATTGCGGCTTTGAGGACTTTGGTCAGTATCGAGTCCCTGTTGGTGGAGAGCGAGGCTAGCGCTTCCTGGCCAAGTCCATCGATGTCTTTGTGGGCATCAAAGTCAAGTTCCATATCCGACTTGCTCTGTAGAACCTTCACAACCAGCTCAAAAGGGCAATGGTCGAGCTTGTCCTGGGCCCAGCTGAACATACTGCATGCATCGCCGACAGCTTTCCACAGGTTGAATGCGTCAGGCTTGTACTCTGTGATGGTATCCGCAACCTCGATGCCTCGGGTCAGGCCATCAGCAGCTTCTCCATAGAATCCAGTCTCGATGCACTGCCAAGCTTTTTCAACAAGCGTCTGCAGCAATGCAATCGATACGCCAAACTCCTTCGGCCGAACTGCAAGTACTGCTTCATAGCCAGCAAGTGCTTCTTCGAATTCACTCAGCTCGCGGTTGACATTGGCGAGCATATACTTTGTGAACCATCCTTCCTCATCTGATCTCTTCATCACGATGCCATCCGTGGGGTTTTCAGCGTAGTTGAAAGCACGCGAGGCTGAGTTGTACCTGCCGGAATTATGATAGCTCTCACCTAAACCAACATAAGAGTAATAGTCGTCTGGGCTTATTCGTAATGCTGCCAGGAATGAGACGATGCTCTTCTGGTACTCTTGCTTGTTCATTTGGACAACTCCAAGAGCTGAGTGTGGCCAGCTAACTCCCTTTCGCTTTGAGCCAGGCGTTTGCCGGGCCTTGCCGGAGTCTACCACTCGCTGCGCTACGACTTCGACAATGTCCCATTCTCCTTGATTGGCAAAGAGACGGGCTAATCGCTCGGCTGCAATGACCTCCGAGGGCGACAGTTCGAAAGCTTTTTGGAAACACTGCCTTGCACGCCTGCGATCTTTGTTGTAATCTTCGTAGAATATGCCAAGGAGCGTGTATGCCGGGGCATAGTTTGGGTTTGCTTTGATGGCTGCGAGTAGCTTGGAGTATGTCCGTTGTCGATCTTTTCGCGCAGCTTTTGACGGATCGAGCTCCCATAGGCAGACGCCTATTCTATAGAGAGTCTGCGCGCGGAGTTCACGGCCGCGTTGTTGGGATGCATCAAGTTGTGGGTAGTCAAGATACTTCTGAAGCCTCTCAAGTCCAGTGCTGTAGTCACCTGCCAACGCCTGGCACCAAGCTGATTCTGCGCCAATACGGCCATTTGATGGATCCTGCTGCAGAGCTTTTTCTAAGAACTGGAAGGCTTGCTCGTATTCTTCCTCTTCTTCCAGGACTAGTCCGATGCCAATGAGGGCGGGGGTGAATTGTGGTTTGCGCTTCAGAGTAGACTCGAAGATGCCCTTGGCTTCGGGATGGTTTCTTGGGGCCTGGTAGTAAACCAAGGCAGTGGCAAGAGTGCTGCTGAGCGCATCGCGCGTCTTTTGGAACGATAAGTCGGTCTTTTTGGCTTCAGCAGAAGCGTATTTCAGGCCCTTCCTGGTTGTTTCCACAGCACTCTCATACTCCTCGAGGAACAGGTAGTAGTCTCCAAGAAGGCAATGGGCTAGTGATGACTTGGGCGCCTCGGTAATGCCCTCGGTCATCAAGACCAGACAATCTTCTTGTGACACGGGCACATCCTGGGTAAGAGCTACCCCACCTTCACTCAGATCAGGTCCTTCTCTTGAATCCCCTTCTGCCGTAAGTGGGTATTTTGCTATGCCGCTGCTGAGCCAGCCTATGATGACCTTTGTTAGGCCCTCATTGGGGAACAGGTCGATGAATTGGCGTAGTGTTGAGATGTCCAGATCCAGCAGGTCGTGTGCACTGTCTGCGTGCGACGCCATGACGGCGAGTCGGCGGCACTGTGGCCCAATCGATGAACGGTGCAAGGCAAACGCGCAATCCGACAAGAAAGTACTGGGCAAGGACCGTGTCCGGCTCCGCAAAGCGATGTGAGGGGAGCTAATGCGCAGAAGCAGAGTGGTTGAGGTTGATGTAAGTAAGTAGCCTAGGGTCAACGCGCCCGACTGCGGTGCGTCATTCGCTCTTGGGCGCCCCACCACGGCTTGCCTGGACCCAACTGCAACCCTCCATGGCGCCCTCTTAACAAGCCTCACGCCGTGCATGCGCGCGCTTCTCTGCGGCTCGAATCCACACTCTCGACATGTCGACGAAAACAGCGCTCAAGGCCGCCAAGGCCGCGATTGGCGCAAAAGATTGGGACGAGGCGAAGCAGCAGGCAACGGCGGTCGTCGAGAAGGACCCAAACAGCTACTTTGGCCATCTTTTTCTGGGGCGGGCAAACGACGGACTGGGTCTATTCGACGAGGCGGCAAAGGCCTACTACCAGGCGACCAAGATCAAGCCCGACGATGCCCAGGCCTGGCTGGGTCTGAGGGCCATGTACGAGGGGCTCAAGGGCACCAAGGTCGACGAGAACATTGACGTCGGCCTGTCGCTCGCCCAAATATACATGGACCTGTACGCTCGCTTCAGCCGATAGCTGCCGTGGCAAAAGCCCTGCTGACAGGCACAGTGACGATGCGTACAAGGCGCAGTCGGCCATCGACAAGCTTGTGGACCACGCCCGCGCCCACGGCACAAAGACTCAATACGCCCGCGCCCTCGGCACACAGCTGCCCTCGTCGCCCGTATACTCGTACCTGGAAGGCCGGCTACCCGACCCCTCAGCAACACTGACGCGCATCGCCGAGATGCACGAGGCCCAGGAAGCATCGACTATAAAGCGACTCATAGAAGAGCGGCGGTTACGCGTGGGCGCGACACTAGAGGGGACCACCGCCTCGGTCAAGAACGAGGTCTATGCCGCTAGCCCGCTTGAGGATATATACGAGCAAATTGTCAACTGGACGCGCGACGACGAGCTGCGCAGGGAGTATGAAGAGAAACTATTGGCGAGGGCATATGACGCGTTGATGGTGCTGCCTACAGGGCAGAAGGCAGACAAGAGGGCCAAGGTCATGAAGCTAGCGCACGACATGGTCCTGATCAAGCACCCGAATTTACTGGCTTGGACCATCGAGCTGGAGTGGCGGTCGAGCATGGAAGTTGAGGCGCATTGAGCATTCAATCGCGAAAGCATGGCATGGCGTTTGACTAACGGAGAGCCAGTTCGGTTCCATTGGGAGGCAAGATACGAACGACATGAAGACACAACTCCAAACTCCACCCATGCCTGCTCTTCCTCCTACGCCTTCGTAGCTGCAACAACCCTCCTCTTCTCCTCTGCCGTGAACAGACTTTCGCCTTGCTTCAAGGCGTGGATAAGCATCGGCACACTGCTCGCCTTGAAGTCTTGCGCCTCGCGCACTTTATCAAGGTCATCGGCAAACTCGGAGGCGATCTTGCGCAGATAAAGAGCGCCAAAGTCCTCTTGCGCCTGATTGCCAGACTTGCATGTCGATTTTGCCGGTTGTGAGGGAGATGCCGGCGCGTCTTCCATTACAACATCGTCATCCTGCTGGGCAGTGGCCTTTTTCTTCTTTTCTTTTTTGGCTACTACAGGTGCCGGTGATGCGTCCTGTCCAACGTTAAGCCCGGTCGCATGACCTTTGTCTGATGTACTTACGCTGGCATCGTCTTCTACACGCGCGACTTTTCCACTCGACACATTGCTGTCACTGTCGCTTTCGCTTGACGACGACACTATGCATACGTTAACACACGTTCTTGGGCTTTCGTACGCTGCTCCTGTACCTTCAGTCCTCGTCCTTCGCTTCTTGGACCTTTTTTTCTTCTCAACACCATTTGCTCCTCTTTGCGCCGCCATCTTGGTAGAGTATGGTTGCATGGGAAAAAAGCTCAGGCGTGAGTGTTGGTTATCGATAGGGCACGTGCGACGCTAGGGAGGTCCAGGGTCGGCCCTCGAATATTACCAACATCACCGTCCATCTCTGGTCAACCCATACTCAATGTCATCATCGCCTCCACACGGCACACAACTATCATGCATTTTTTTTATACTACCAGCCAGTTTACAAGCCATTTTCAATCGCAGCCAGTTCCCCCATGGTATTCTTAACGCTCGTTTTCAGTGCCTCACCAACCGGCATGTAGGGTTGCCTTGGATGTAGCCTTTCCTCTGCACCCTCGATACCTGCAGCCTTTGCGCTGTACTGACTGACTGCATGCTTAGTTGGTGCAATTCCAGCTTTTATTGGGCTTTCCGCCAACGCAGCCTTGCGATGCAGCTCCAATGCCTCCTGCGTCTTACCGCTCGTGTACAGCTCGTAGACTTTCGAGCATACCTTGGGAAAGACGTTGCTGAATGCCGACACACATCCTGCGCTTCCGACAGCCAACCCGGCAATCAACCAGTCGGCCTGTCCTGCATACGTCGAGAACATGTCGCTCGGTAGTTCTGCACAAAGCCGGGTGATCTTTGCCACGCTTCCACACGTCAACTTGACGCCAACAATCTTTCCGGGGTTGCGCTTGGCCAAGGCCGCAATAGTAACAGAGTCGAGGTCCACGCCGCTGCAAATGCCCGGGAAGTTGTAAATGACAATGGGCAATGAGCTCTTCTGTGCAACCTCGTCGTAAAAGGCCATGACCACGTCCTTTGATGTCGCAGGCCCATAGTATGCCGCCGGGAGCAGCAATCCATAGTTTGCCCCCGATTCAATTGCATCGCTGATGTTCTCCATGACCTGGGGTACTGAGAAGCCAGAGATACCCACCATCAGAGGATAATCGGGGCCGACTGCTTCACGTGCGCACTTCATCAGTGCCCGTTTCTCGTCTCGCGTGAGCAAAAACGCTTCGGCATTGGATCCGAGAATGACGAGCCCAGTCAGACCAGACTGCGAAAGGTACGTGAAGTACTGCTTTTGCGCGACAAGGTCCAGGGTTGCAGTCTCGCTGTCCGGGGTGTAAAAGGTGACTGCGGGGCACCACACGCCTGGTGCTGGTGGAGGCGCCATGGTCGTATATAACCAAAGTCGTAGGATGGACACAGTCGACTCAGTCTTGTCAAAGAGGAATTGGAAAAAGATGGTTGTGCCAAATATAAAAAAAACAAGGCTGAATAGGCAGGATATTGTTATTTCCAAGACACCATGCAACACGGAGTCAGACGTTGATTGACAGCGTCTGGGGCGCGTTCCGATATCCTTGAATAACCGAGTTGGATTCGGAACGTTCCGAAGTCGGAAACCCGCTTCTCCCCCCTTTGTGCCATTCGAGTCCATGGTTAATACCGTTTGTATTCACTGTAAATAAATATCCTGCTTGGTCCTTGCTTGCTTGACTGTAGTTCTCTTCAACATGTGTCTTCGCGTCCTGCTCCTTGATCAAGATGTCCTCCTGTTGGGAATCCGCGGTAGAAAACCCGCCAGACTCGATGTATATGGCATGGCATATGCAATGCTCAGACAGATTAATAACCTGCACAAATGATCAGAAGTAAAACGCATATTTCCAAGTCTGCCTTGCTATTCTGAATAAAAAGAAAGAAAGAAAGAGTCTTGTAGTAAAATAGTCGGCAGATGACTAGGCCATGTCGAAAAGTCTAGACTATAAGACTAATGTTTCCATCTTCAACTAAGTAAGTACTTATATAGGAGACTGTTGATTTCTAAATGGTGCCTTTAACCATCTACATGTAGTTTACTCGCACATTCACTTTACTTAACTCGTGGATCGCAGCTAAATGATCTTATAAGTTTCGACTGAAATTCTATTGTCAATTTTTTTTTCAAATCACTTGGTCTAAATCTGCCGTCTTTATGATAATATGCCCTTGAAAAGGGAGGAGGGCCAAAAAAAATGCCCAACGTTGCTATACTTGACAAAAGGAGATAATGACTATTACCGGGTCCAACCAACCAAACATGCATGCCCGACCCCCAGGGTATCGTTTGCCAGATCGCCCCGAATATTGCACTCTCTTCAAATATCCATTACCCTCGCCCCATGTCTATTGCCCCCCAAACATATCCGCCACGCCTGCTAGCCCTGGGCTCGTTTCGCGAACAATGGCTGGTTGCTGATCAACTGTCATGTACTGTTCCATCATGACGGTCCTATTCTTGGCCTTGGGTCGCTGGATCTTGCCCTGCTCGTGTATGCTTACGCCCTTGATACTGCTGAGTAGATCCAGAACGATGCTCCGCTGCATTCTCTCATCCTGACGGTTCGCACTTTGGAGTTTCGAGAGCCGGCGGTCAACTCGAGCTTCGTCGCCCATTCCAGGCAGCGAGAGGATAATGGAGCGCGGAATCTCCTCGTCGAGATGGATAATGCCAGCAATCAGAGATGCGAGCTCCTTTTGGCAATCCACAAAGTAGGGTTCGTGCAAGGAAGTGATGGCAGATTTGAGAATGTCATTGCAGAAGTAGTCGCGGATCGGGGACTTTTCTTTGAAGCGGGGAAGCAGCGTGCGCATGACGCGTACGATGGTCACGACAGATCGAGTATCGCGGACGCGAATGGTCGAATTGCAGAAGAGAAGAATGGGCTCCAAAACGGACGGCGTCTCAAGAATGAAATCGCACATTGGCGGTGCATTTGCTTCCTTGCGGCTCTGATCATCTTGCCGAGCGAACTCTGCATTTACGTCAGTTTCCATGTCTATGCCAATAGCATTTTGACAAGAGGTTTGAATGCCACTCAGAAGTAATCAATCACTTACCTTGTCTCGAATCCAGCAGCACAGCGACAAGCGAGACAGACGAGTACGTAAGCTGGCGGAGTATACTCTCCGTCTTCATCTCATCTGTCAAGTTGTCATTATCCCCTGATTCCGCCACTTGTCGAGCAATCTCGTTCCATTCGCGAGAAATCTTAGAGTCTAATTCGCGAAACAGCCCCTGTATCATAGGTGGCAGAAAGTGCGCTCGTAATTGCGATGGGCAGCCTTCAATCAGATGTGTAGACACCGTAAGCAGAACAGAGAGATGGTGCGCAGTCAAAGCACCAGCGTGCCCAAAGAGAGCCTGGCTCAGAGGTCCTGGTAAGTCTTGTATGCCGTAAAAGTAATCTCGGAACCTTGTCAATGAGTAGAGGATGTAGTACGAACTCTCCCTGATCTGTCGCACAGTGCCTCGAACCGTCGAAGCGAAACCTTCGTAGGTGGATTTTGAGCCACTAACTCTCGCAAAGAAGTCATCCCTGCTCTCCGTCGAGATACCCGCTTGCCAGAATCGATCCGTCAGCACACGGCGGATGACCTGCTGCAGTTCAAGAGGCAAGTGTGACCAGTTGCTGTCAATGTCATTGAAAGCCTGTGCATGGCTCACGAGCTGGAGGAGGTTGGGAAGCAAGACGGGTATCGTCTCTGCCCACAACGCGGCAGCAGTCTCGTAGGCAGCAGTGCCGTCGCGCAGCTTCTCCGTGGACGCTGCAAGTAGCGTTTTGGTGAGTCGAAGTGGCAATTGCTGGGATCGTTCAAGGATGGAAGCCTGCAACGCCTGACCGTCACTGGGCAGCTGCTGCTCAGACCAGTCATGGACGCCGCGGAAATTGTTTGCAGACAGAAACTCGGGCAATTGGCCCATGCCCAGAACAGTGCAAAAGGACTGGAACGAAGAAATGGCTTGGGTAAACTCATCGTTGCGCCATGCCTCCTTGACGCGGTTAAGCATCTGTCTCATGCGCTCTTCTTGGGTGGTGCGGTCCAAGGCTGAACACCTATGTATGATGATGAAAAGAAAAGCAGAGTATGCCATTCGCTGGCGTTCGTCAGTCGTGGGGTCATTGATCATCTCATTGACTTTTGCTTCTAATTGCTCGTAGACGTTCATAAAGTCATCGGCAAACTTCATGGCTAGTTTCTGCATCTCTAAGCTGCATATGCGCTCCAGGTCTTTTACCGCTTCCGAGTACTGTGGGTAGTTTGTGTCATCTGCTAGACGTATGGTAAGCATGTACTCGAGGAAGGTGAGGGCAAAGCCCGAGCGGTCGCCCAGAGCTTTGGTAGCCAGCGTCGCCATGAGCGAGATGATTTTTCTTGCGACTTCGGGGTCATCGAAGCGCGCCTGCAGGATCTGCCGCCCCCATTGCTCGAGTGAGTCTTCCAGCACGTTGCGCGTCCGCTCATCGGCTTGCGCGTCTTCGCCTTGGCCTTGCTGCCACTTCATGTAGCCTTTGAGTGCAGCCTCGATGACGGTGACTTGTGCGTCAACCCGGAGAACCTGGGGCGAGTTTTTGCTAAACGTCTGCGGCTGGAACGAGGGCTGGTCGCTGTACAGATTTTGCAGCATGTTGGTTGCTTGCGACAGGATATGCTCCATGGCCTCAACGGGCGTCTTGCGAACCAGGACCTCGATGACATCGGCGCAGAATCTCCGATAGTTGCCTAGGAATGCATGGCGCTCGGGAATAGTATCAATATCTTCATTCAAGAACTGCAATGTGACGTCCTCTGCGTCTTCGGGAAGCGCTTCGTAGCGGACCAGCCGCGCACAGCACGTCTCTAGCAGACCGCCGACCATGGAATTCACCACGTCAGACTCGCGAACAACGCTCGATCGCAGCAGCTTGGTCCAGCAGTGAAGGACGGGTATCGAGACAACAAGACTCGGGTTGCGCATGATGTCGTAAAGAAAAGCAAATATGCCGGGGAGATCGCTGCCTTCTGGAATCGACCGGGGCTTTTGTTCAATGAACAGACCAAGATTGTTTGCCAACTGCACTCCTTAGCCGCGTACAAGGGGGGAGCCAGTTGAGATTAGGGGTACCTACCTCGGAGAGCCTCTTGCAAAGCATGTACTTTTGGTCATCAATATCATTGACGTCCATGCCCGTGATTGTCCAATTGTATACTTCGCGAAGCAGCGAGACACTGCCGGGTGTGAACATGGGGCAGACGAGCTCGACAAACTCGTCGTCGTGTAGGTGCGTTCGGTTGTAAATTGCCTGTAGGGTCTCGACTGCGGCCTGCATGGTGTCAGTGGCGGTCTCCAAATCATGCGCTGGGTCACTATACAATCTGCATGTCGGCGGCGGGCGTGGCGAGCGCCTTGCAGACGGCCTCAATGACCTGTGTAGCGGCAATGGCCTTGGGCATGACCCAGGGCATGGCGGCCCTAAGCGCATGCATCGTCTTGACGGCGTTGGCCCGGACATTGTCCTGGTTCTGGTAGTCCTGGGCCAGGCACCACGCCAAGTTTTCGCACAGCCTTGTCAGCCACCCCTGGTCGCCGCAGCGTAGATCGAGGCTTTTTTCTCTGGTAGGGAGCTGCTCCTGTATGACGGCGTGAGGCGTGAAGATCTCGACACAGGCACGGCCCAGATCGGTGCCGCGCAGGCCTGCGGTAGCATCTTCGCGGTTGAAGACCTCCTCTGAAAGCGTCTCGAGGACGTAGAGCACGACGGCTTGGTGGTGCAATGAGTTTGTCCAGAGGGCGACGAGTTGCTCGTCCATGTCCAGCCACTCGGCGCCCCAGCTGCGCTTGGCGATTTCTGTCCACAGCTGGGCAATCTTGTTGCGAATGTAGACGGGGTCGCTCTCGGTCACGTTCTGCGCCAATTCGACAGCACACGCCCTCAGCGCGGTACCCTGGTCGACGGTGTAGTCCTCCCAATTGTACTTGATCGAGTACTCGAGCATGGTGAGGCCATAGTAGCGCAGCTGTGCAGGCTGCGAGCGGTCGAGGGCGAGCGTGTGGCCATGCGACGGGGCCTCGGGGTGGCGTTTGGCCTGCTCGAGGTACTCTGTGGCCTGGCGACGGGTGTCGTTGCTCGAGGCCGGGGCGTAGATGGCTTGCAGCGCCTCTAGCACCTGCGAGAGGTCTGAGTGGGCATTGTCGTGGTGTTGCGCTCCGCCGCCGCCGCCGCCATTTGTGAGAGTCGTGTGGGGGGCTTGGTCCGCCCCAAGATTCATCGTGGGGGGAGAGCGTGGACGAAACTTTGTTGATGCACGACAGGTCGGGGGGGGGGGGGGCGCAGGATGGGGGACGGCAGGCTGAGGTGTTGCGGGCGCGGGAGTTGCTGAAAGCGGAAGAGAGAGTGGACAGCGGACCAGACCAAGACCAAGGCCCGGTTTGGGGGGTTTGGGGGGTTTGGGGCGGAGGGGGGCTTGAGAAGCTTTGGCGCCCAGTGTCTGGGACAAACCACGGCAGATGGCGGTGTAGCGTGTGCGTGCTGCGTGCTGTGTGCTGTGTGTGTGCCTCAACTCAACTCAACTCCACGCAGGCGTCAGGCGTCAGTCAGGCGTGGCCGTGGGCGTGAGTGAGTGAGTGTGCTTGGGGCTCGATTGTGTGCAGGAAATCAGCCGTGGGCTTACATGCATCCACGTCGCCCGGGTGGCACCAACGCGCTTTGCAGGCTGCTTGTCCCCCAGCCCACGGCACGCGTCGACGCGCTGTCAGCTGCTTTTTTTGGGGGGGGCGAGGGGGGCGAGGGGCGGCGCCGCCAGGCAGGGACAAGAGAATATGTAAGATGGCGCGCCCTCACTGCAACTGCTATGCACGACGCACAACCACGGCCACGGCCACGGCCACGACTACTACTGCGTGCTTGGACGGCCTTCATTCGCCGAGATATCCCCCCAGCATCTCCCAAACACCTGGCCATATACAAGAAAAAATCATCCGCGTCCGTATTCGCTTTCGCAGAATCGGATCATGTGCGTGACCTGAGCGTCGCATGACATTGCATCACTGCGCATTGGCCCCCAGCGGCCAGCGACCAGCTCGCCCCTCCCCCGCAACACCACGCCCCGGCATCGCCATCCTTCACGCACCACACCACACCACACCACACTGCACCACACTGCACCACACTGCACCACACTGCACCACACTGCACCGCACCTCGCCTCGCCTCGCCTCGCCTACATGACAGCGCACGCCTGCTTCTGGCACTGCTGCAAGTACCCTTCATCCTCGTCCGTGCCCAGCGCGCTCCCCGCCTTCCGCACCACGCCCTTGACCACGATCGACTGGTCGCCCTCGGCATGCCACCATCGCAGTATCTGCTGCAGCGCCCCATTCGTCTCCTCGCACGTCATGGTCCATTTGCCCCCGCTGACCTCGACGCTCGTCTGGCCCGACGGGAAGTGGAACTCGGGCACGTAGCACACGGTCGGCGCGTCTTCCGCCGTTGAGCTCGGCGCCGACAGCGCCAGCTTGAATGTGCAGTTCTTGAGGTCGAATCCATACGAGGAAATGTCGCCGTGCACCGCAACCGGCGTCGGGCGAATAAAGGCTTCGGCCGCACGCAGGCCCGCCACATCGCCCTCGCCATCATTCCGCCTCGAACTCATCCGCTCCGCCGAAATCGTCTTTTGCAAGTTGCTCGGGTTGACGCTGAGCGTGTCCGTCGACTGCGCCCTCGAGAATGTCGGCGAGTTCGTGTCGACGGATGCCCGCGACTCCTCGGGCGAAAAGGCGCGTGCTGGCACCGCCTTGTCGTCCAAGGAAAAAATGGAGAGGTCCTCGCCGTTCCACGAGTCGCCCCAGTAGTGGCCGTTCTGCGTCTGCATTAGTCTCACCAGCCCCCGCCTCTGCAGCCTGACTTACATTGACAACATAGGTCCACAGCGCAAACCCATTGGCCATACTGTCCTCGAGTGCGAAATGGTTGGCGTCCAGCGCTGCTATCTGACTGCTGTAGTTGCCCGTCTTGTACGCATACTTGTCATCCATGTCGTAGGGGATGCCAATCTCGGTGAAGATGCACGGGTGCACTCCCGTGTACTGAGTGCCCTCGTCGCGGATCGCCTTGAGCTGGTGCGAGAAGCAGTTTCGAATCGCCGTCTCTCCAATCTTGATGGCAAATGCCGGCGTCAGGTACTTTCCTCGCAGCACGCCGAAAACGTCCACGTTCCACACCCGGTTCCTGCACTACATTAGATTGAATCGGACATGGACCAATGTCGAGACATACCATTTCTTCGTAATGAGCGTAATGCCGTCGTAGAAATGAGGCGCAAAGATCATGTTGGGGTCGTCGTCCTCGGTGCCCTTGATGCTGGGAGGTATCTCCAGCACGGGAGGCTGGAAGAACATGAGCGAGTCTGGGAAGATGGACTTGACCATGCTGCTGTAGGCGCGATAATGCGGTAGCCAGTAGTGGTTGGTAAAGTACTCATAGTCGATCTTGGCGCCGTTCTTGGGGTCAATGCCAAAGTAGTCCTTTTTCAGCACCGTGTCGGTCTTGGGGTCCCATACACCGTGCTGCGCCCACAAGCATTCACCCAGCCGCCACCCAGGGTCGCGCTTCCAGCCATACTTGGTGTCGTCGTAATCTTTCGACAGCCATGCCAACGTGCCCTGCGGATCGACCAGGACGGATCCGCTCTTATAAGGACCCAAGCCGCCAAACTCCCACGTCGCGATTTCGCAAGCTCTGCCTGATCCGGTAAGTATTGCCTGCCAGGCTGTTGGTGATGTGCCCTTCTGGAGCTTTTGCTCGCTCGGAATCTGCGTGATGTCCTGGTAGCTGATGAGGCCTCGGTTGGGCTCGTTCATGCTCTCCCACCCGACAATGGGGTCGTGCCACAGGTCGCCCGCCTCTTGGATCCGCCCCGCAAGATGCTCGCATGCGCCTATAAAGTGCTCCTGCAGGTAGTCCTGGATATTCTTGCCGTCAATAATGGCCTTGGGCGCAAAGTCTCGGCCACCAAAGAAGAGCGTGTACATGACCTGGCACACCAGACGCATGTAGTTGGTCGTCCAGATCATCTTGGGAAATGCGGCTGGGTCAGGGTATGTGTTGTGCACCACGGCCGCCTCCGTCACGGCGAAGTTCTCGGGATCCAGGCCACAGGCGTACAGCGTCCACATGGGTGCGCCCGAGCCTCCAGAGAATCGGGACCACTGCGTCACACATTAGGGTGGGGGCGACTGCGAATGCATTGGAATGAATGCGACCTACGACATCCTGGTGGGGATCCATGAAGATATAGAAGCCATACTCTTTGGCCTTTCGCAGCACGGCAATGGTGTGGTCTATCCACTCTTCGTCGTATTGGCCTGGCCCCGCGTGCTCTATGGCCTCCCATGTGAAGATGTAGCGTATGGTGTTGTAGCCCCAACTCCGCAGCCGCGAGAAGTGCGTGGCCGCATCCTGCAGGGAGAAGGGCCGGTTTACAAAGGACACGTTGTCGCCGTCAAAGAAGTTTTCGGCTACATGCGAAGGTTGGTAGGGAGTGGCGGGACACTTGGCATCAGCGGCACAGTTGATGCCGTGCAGCGTGACTTCGCGGTTCTGGGGGTCGCGGAATGTTCGTCCGTCGATACGCAGCCGAACCGAAGACATTACTGAGGGAAGAGAAAGACTGGAAGGAGTGGAGGGGGCGGCGGTGCAACAAAACAGGGCACAGGGGACAGCACACCGGGGGGGGAGCAGGGTGTATGTGTGCAGGAGTAGGAAACGAGAGAGAGAGGATTGGGAAGGATAGTAATGGCAGACGACTGTACGGATGCAGAGGCGGCGTGCACATGCATGACGCACTTAGCGCGGCCGGGGTCGCTGGATCGAAGTGGCCCCTGCGGCAGTACCCCGACATCAGGACAAGTTGCATGAAGCGCCCGGCGAAGGCCTCATAAAGACGACGTGCCCCGGCCAGCTCTTCTTGCACTCGCCTCGCATGCCCAGGTAAAGCCGTCACCAACCTCCACTGTTTGTTTGTTTTTTGCGCGCATTGCCCTGGCCTTCTGGTCCCCCGTCTCTCGCTGCCCTCCATCACCGACGACCATCCCCACCACCCCGTCGCATCATGATCCTCAGGCTCTCGACTGTCGCCCTCGGGCTGCTGCCCCTTGCCAGCGCCCTTTCTGCCGCCGACATCCCCGCCGACACGCCTGTATCGCAGCTGGTCAAGGACGCCACGGTGCAGCTCGCCACCGGAAACACGCAAGATGCCCTCACCTACTTCGACGTCGCCATCTCCCGTGACCCGCGCAACTACCTCACCTACTTCAGGCGCGGCGCCGCATACCTCCAGATCGGCCGGACCGTGCAGGCCGAGCAGGACTTCAACAAGGTGCTGGAATTGAAGCCTGGCTTCGAAGGCGCATTGGTGCAGCGCGCAAAGATAAGGGCGCGCAAGGCCGACTGGGATGCCGCGCGCAACGACTACGAGGCTGCCGGCAAGACGGACGACATCGCCCAGCTGGAAGAGGCCCAGGCGGCCGCTGTCATCGCGCAGGCGGCCGCCGAGAAAGGAGACTGGGACTCGTGCGTCACCAATGCAGGCGCCGCCATCGTGGTTGCAAGCGGTGCATACGACATCCGCAAGACGCGCGCGCGCTGTCGCTTCGAGAAGGGCGAGGTCGTCGAGGGCATCAGCGACCTGCAGCACCTCCTCCAGACCAACACGGGCGACATTGAACCGCACCTCCAGAGCTCCGCCATGGCCTTTTACTCTCTCGGCGAGACGGACAAGGGACTCAAGCACATTGCCCAATGCCTGCAGTCAGACCCGGACTCCAAGGCATGCATGAAGCTGCGCCGCCGCGAAAAGAACCTCGACAAGGACATCAAGAAAGTGCGCAAGTTCTTCGAAAAGCGCCAGTTCGCCACCGCCTCTAAACTCCTCATCGACCGCGGTGAGCAGGATCCTGGTCTCCTGAAGGAGGTGAAGCAGGATTTCCAGGACTACTCCAAGCAGGGCTACATCTTCGCCAACTCTCCCCAAGGCCTCTACTACAACCTCCTCGACATGACGTGCGAGGCTTACGTCGAAATGAACAACCTGAAGAAGGGCACACCATACTGCACAGAGGCTCTCCAACACAACCCCGACTCCCTCCACGGACTGATCCACAAGGCCCAGGGCCAGCTCGACGCCGACAACTTTGAGGAGTGCATCCGCACCCTAGAGCACGCCAAAGAACACCACCAGCACCAGAGACTCGACGAGATGCTGCAAAAGGCCCGCACCCTGCTCAAGCGCTCCAAGGAAAAGGACTACTACAAGGTCCTCGGCGTGTCGCGCGACGCTGACGAGCGCGAAATCAAGAAGGCGTACCGCAAGCTGAGCAAGATGTACCACCCGGACAAGGCTGCCTCGAACAACATGTCGCTCGAAGACGCGCAGAAGAAGATGTCAGACGTCAACGAAGCATACGAAGTCCTCTCCGATCCCGAACTCAAGGCACGATTCGACCGCGGTGATGACCCCAACAACAATGAGCAGCAGCAAGGCAATCCGTTCCAGGGCTCGCCGTTTGGTGGCCAGCAGTTCATGTTCAGACAAGGTGGAGGTTTCCCCGGCGGAGGCAGCTTCAAGTTCCACCAGGGTGGTGGATTCCCTGGTGGCGGCTTTCCCGGCGGCTTTCCCTTTTAGACTAGCGTTCCTACATCGTCTCGTACTTGGCCTGGAGTTTGGAGGGGACACAACATGGGTAGAGCATAATGGCGTTTTGTAGTTTTTGATATCACTGACCATGGCACTTTGAGAAATGAATTACGGTCATCTTTAGCAATTTTTTACTAAATCACATTGCGCGTTGCTTTCACCCCCAGTCCGCCAAGCTGCCTCACTTTCACTTCCATCTTCACTCGCACAATGCTAGTCTTTACCATGAACTTTTTTTTTCCAAAATTTCTTGTTGATCTCAATTGCTGTTACACCTCACTACTTCCATACACCTCCACCAGCCCCAGTCGAAGTCACACTCGATGGTCCCTCTAATACATCCTAGATTGTACGTGTAACTGTATAGATGTCACAGACAGAAAACAACCAACCTCAAAGTACAGCACTTGCGATTGGGAAGACAGTCCAGCAAAGACACAGGAAATGGCAACACCCAAGTCACAGTGTGCGCGTATTGTGGCCTACGCAAAAGACGATGGCGAAATCCCAAAGTAAGTAGCGAATTACGCACAAGGCAGTCCGAGTCCGATCTAACCATTACCCTACTTAGCATCCTAAGTGAAATGGCCACTGTCCTGACACGCACCGGAAGCATCCAGATCCACAAAGACGTTCTCACATCGACCTCGGATTTCCTTAGAAACGCCATCAAACCACAGTGGCGCCGTGATGGTGTTCTGCAGGCCGACCTGGCTGAAGAAGACCCCGGAGCAATGCACGCCTACTGCCAGTGGCTATACTCGCGGAAGCCTCTCACTTTGAGTCCCTCAAACGATACTGCCGTGCATCTAGCTCGGCTATACGTTCTTGGTGAAAAGCTCATGGATAAAACGTTTCAGGAGGCAGCTATAGACGCCATAATCGACAACGCTTCCGAATCAAACGCCATCTATGTGGCAAGGAACATGATCAAGATTATTTACGACGGTACTCCCAAGGGCTCGCCAGCTCGCCGCCTCATGGTTGACTTGTGCGCGTACTCTGCAGCTACGGCACCAGGTTCTACGACCATGGCTCTACTTCGAGGAACTGATTTCTTCGAGGAACTCGTACCGGCATTAATCAAGGTGCGCGCGATACCATCGGCCAGAGTGCAGCGACCGCGGATCGCACAACCCGAGACTTATTACTGCCACGGTACAAGCGTCCAGAGTACCAAAACCTCCAGGCAGTTCCTCACGTGACAGCTGAAGACTTGTTGAGCGCAAGCCCGGATTCCATATCATGGATGCGCTCTGACTTGATGGTAACAGCACCACTCAGACAAAATGAGCAGCTACAACAACCTGAGTGTCGCGCATAAGAAGGAAAACGCAATCGGATGTTTCGCTTCGTGCTGCCTCGTTGTTCACGTCATTACACTGTATCGACACATGACAAAAAGATCAAGGGAAGGCGTCGCATTTTCCTTCTATACTGAACCAGCACGTCTCATGGGTATATTATATATCATATAAGTGCTTGTATCCTACTCATAACTGCGGCTGTACCCACTCCCTTCTCTAATTTGTAAATTATACTTGTACTTGCATACCTATTTTGCCTCGCCAAAATCACTGTGTCCCGTTTCTGTTGCGTGTTGAATCGCTCCACGCTCTCCGGCTCCCTTCCAGCCACATGTGTTGCACTTGATATCGAACTTTTGGGTGTCGGTGAAGTAGTGCTGTTTCTGGAGTTGGCGACAAAGCTCCTTCGCGGCTTCGAGGATAACGTCGTCGTTGGCGTCAAAAAGCTTAATGTCCTGCGAGGGGTCCTGAGCGGGAACGCCGTTGGGGACGAGAGCGATGGTGTCGTAATGGATGCCAGAATATACCAGGATACAGCGGCGTGGCCTGCCCTCGTTGAAGCGATCTACTCGGTTGTCCTGCACGTTTACGCTCGCAATTTCAATGTCGAACTCCTGAGAGAGAATGCTGAGTTCGATACCGCCACCCCACGAGTCCGAATACGAGATCCATTTACAGTACTCGTCGGGTGATCGCTGTAAGATTGCTTCATTGTACTGCTCGGGGTCTCGTTGTATAGCCTGTGCGACCATCGATCTGAGCTCGGTCATGCCATCGAGAGAGTCGGAAAGAACGGCGCTTCCAACTGCCCGGAACATGCACGAGTTGTCGTCCGGCATCACTCTCAAGACCATGGTGCCAGCGCGCTCGGGCACGGGCACTTCGGGAGTGTCCTTGAGCGCCGAGTTCTGTTTTCGCTGGAGAGATAGAGGCGCCGACTGCGATGTAGCCGACTGAAGCTCGTGCTCTGCTTTTCGCTCGCTTGGATCGCCTGTGGCCTTTCCAATGACGATGATGGAAGCGCCATTGAGCTTGAGGTCGATGTCTTTCAAAAGCGTCGACATGCCGTATAGCGAAGGATCCAGCGGCTGGGGAGGATGGTTCCATTTCAGCTCGAACAGCGGCAGTTCCGTCTTGTCGCTGATAGAAGAAAGGAGATCGGAGACGGCGGCATCGTCGTCGAGGGAAACGGTATGGGTGCCGTTGGGGGCTCGCAACCGGATGCGGATCGGCATGGCGAGAGAGGCCTGGAGTGGCGGTCTGCGGGACGGGGATGTATATAGTGATGTGGTGTTTGTTCGATACCTGTTTCAAGTAAAAGAGCTGTGAATGCGTGGCGGGCTGGAAGTGGTGGGGCGCTCGTGATCGGGAAGCGGCGGTGGGGAGTTGTCACCAGGTCGCGATGGGCATGGGGGGAGCGAAGGGGAGGGCGGGTTGGTCACACAGGCGCAGAGACGGCGGAGAGGATGGCAGGGTAAAGTATAGTTTGTCAGCTACGGAAACAGCCATGGGCGGCGAGGGCTGGCGCGGACAAGCGGCATGGCGCAAGATGCAAGTGAATGTTCGGGAACCCCAGAGGAGGCCAAGCCAAGTCGGCGATGCGCGACAGGCATTCCCGGAGAATCCTATCGCCGGCGCCGCTCCGCTCCGCTCCAGTCGCGACTGCATGTTCACGACGCGACACCCTCAACACCAAGCAGGCAGACGACGGCGCATCACCACCACGTCGGCCGATCCATCGCAGCCATGGCGTCCGCACGCGCGCCGAGCTCCACGCCGGTGCCCACCACCGAAACTGCCGAATCCGCCGGCGCAACATCCACGGTCACGGAGCAGGAATGGGAGGCCATGGCCACGCTGCTCAAGAATGTCTACGACTACCGGATTGATGAGTAGGTAACCCCGCTTCGATGCCCCCTGCGACCATGCTGATTGTTGCAAAGCGGCACCTACGACCCCACGAAGCTCTTCCACCGCAAAGTGAACAAGCGCGCCGTGCCCGACTACTACGACATCATCAAGGAGCCCATGGCCCTGAGCACCATCAAGGCCAAGCTTGGACAGAAGGAATACAAGAACTTTTCCGAGTTCGTCCGCGACCTGGCGCTCATCCCCCACAATGCGCAAGTCTACAACAGGCAGGATTCGCAGGCCTACGTCGATGCGCTAGAAGTCAAAAAGGCCATTGAGCAGGAGCTGAAGAGGCTGGTCGACGAGAAAACCGTATCCGAGTCCGTAGCTACCCTGCCCTTCCTGGGCGAAATCCCCGAGCAAGACCCGCTGCTGCCGGAGGAGGAGGAAGAGGAGGAGGAAGATGACGAGGAGGAGCTTGAGGTTGATGAGGAGGAAGAAGACGATGACGATGACGAAGGCAAGCGCAAGAGGAGGAGGGCCCCGCGGTCCACAGCAGCCATCTCCAAGCGCGAAGGCGGCTCGAGGGCGGCAAAGGAAGACGCTAAGAACGACGATCCAGAGTCGCGGAAGAAGCGCGGGCGTCCACCGCGGGTCGATACTCCCATGGAAGCGCGAATCAAAACCATCATGAAGGCTATCCGGAAACCTCGCAACCAGCAGAACAAGCTCATGGTCAGCGCCTTCGAGCGCGTACCCGATAAGACGGTCATGCCGGAATACCATTCCGAGATCAAGAACCCCATGGCCATGGATATCCTGAAGCGCAAACTCAAGCGGAAGAAGTACAATTCGGTAGACCATTTCATGGTTGACGTCGAGCTTATGTTTGAGAATGCAAAGCAATATAACGAGGAAGATAGCCAGATTTACAAAGACGCCATTCACCTCCAAAAGGAAGCCCGAAAGGTCGCAAAGGCTGAGAAAGAAAAGCCCGACACCGACTATGTCATGGAAGAGGGCCGCATACCCATGCCCAGCGGTATCGTTCATAACGGAGAGTTGTGGAAGGTCGGCGACTGGGTACACATTCAAAACGCAAACGACCTTACCAAGCCCATTGTTGCTCAAATCTATCGCACCTGGCAAGATGCCAGCGGCGGTCAGTGGGTGAATGCCTGCTGGTACTACCGCCCAGAGCAGACCGTACACCGTTTCGATAGACACTTCTTCGAGAACGAAGTTGTCAAGACCGGCCAATATCGAGACCACCGGATTGACGAGGTCGTGGATCGTTGCTTTGTCATGTTCATAACGCGATACAACAAAGGCCGTCCGCGCGACTTCCCCTCAGACAAGGAGATCTACGTCTGCGAAGCCCGCTACAACGAGGAAAACCACAAGCTGAATAAGATCAAGACGTGGGCTAGCTGCCTTCCTGATGAAGTTAGGGACAAGGACTATGTCATGGATCTGTTTGATGCGCCGCGAAAACTCAAGAAGGTGCCTAGTCCGATTGCCTATCTGCTCAAGGACAGTCAAAAAGAGGATGACGAGCTCCCAAAGCCAGAATGGGGTGCTGAAAATGCGCCTCCCAAGATTGGCGCCGTCCACCGTCGTCCACGCGATCCCAAGGTAAGTTCGCGTTGCTTTGAATCACTATAACCTATGGCTTACAACAAACTACAGGATTCACCACCCCCCGAGCCTACTCCGCCGCCGCCGCCCACTCCGCCGCCAGCGTCTGTAATGCCAACTCCAAGCTTACCCACGGCTCCCTCGCACGGCTACGAAGCATCAAGAAATTACCCCATAGCTCAAGCACCTTCTCTCACCCCAATGCCTGCACCGACGCCCCAGCAACACCATGTCGCTCCCGTGTATACACCCACTCATGCAACACATTACCACGCGCACTCTCAGTCGCCTGCACCACACATGCATCACCAGGTGCCTCCAGCGCCCGCTTACCAACCTATTACCCCACATGTTCCCTTTACACCTCAACCCACTGCACCAATGCAGCACTTTCAGACGCCACGACCCACGCCAGGCTATCAGCAACCGTACCTCCAACAGATGCCCTCCAACTACAAGGCGCCGCAGCCTGTGGAAGTTTATGTCATGGCCGATCATGCAAACAACAGCATACCACCTGAGATCCGTGAACAATTCCAATGTGACGAGAAAGGCCGTGTTCTTTTCTTCACCGCACCCCCGCTCAACGTGGAGCAACCGCTTACCAAGGATGGACGCCCGCTGGGACACTCGGCACGCTACCTGGCAGCCAAAGCAAAGAAAGAGGCATTGAAGGCTGCAAAACGCAAGGCGGGCGAGGGCAATACTGACGAACGCGAGAGGGCAGCCAAGAAGGCGAAGGCGAACGAAGAGGAAAGGCTCAAAAAGGCAGTTTCTGACCTTAATGCTAAAGCACTGAGGGCGCTTGGGGACCAGCTTGCAATGACCACAAAATCAGAACTCACTGCTATATTCAATGGCCAGGCCCAGGAAGGGATTGAAAAGATCGTGGATCAGCTGACTGCTGTTCAAAAGGAAACCATGCAAAAGGAACTGGAGCGCGAGCTGCATGCTCTAGAAATAGAGGAGCGCAAACGGGTGACAGTGTCAGGTATGACGGCGAGACTAGAGGAGAAGTACTAATGGTGCTTTTGTACGATTTGTCGTGTTTGTGATATCCAGTGTAACCATGAAGGGAGAACAGGGCGTTTCTGACAAATGTGTGATTATTGATGGGCATGGACATTGGTTTCATAGGTTACTGGCATCTGGGGTGAGAAATAGCATAGGTTGATTGTTAGAAGAACCCAGTCAATTACAAATCTCTCCTTCCAACTCGGACTTCGTACTGCTTCAGTACACAGCATCATCCGGGTTCGAAGGTTATGGGAGCTCTTCGTGCACATTTTCTTTTTTTGCGAACTGATTGATTGTGTGCTTTCTCAATACATGTGTAGTTCATCCTGCAACCACTTCCCGTTGTTGTTTCTCAGCCACCAAATACCTCCGGGAATGTCACTCCTTGCTCTTTGACTTCTTACGTTTACCAGATATTAAATCGCCGGTAGAGAAGTGAATGCAGAATCCAAATACAAGTTTGTACAATGAAACGCAAACATCGTCCAGCCTCGTGGTCCTTCTTGTCGAATTTGGTAGTTATGAAAAGTCCATCTCTGTTGATCGAATATTGGATATGCAAGGAGATCCGGGAACGGCAGCCCATGAGCCTCCCGAGCCTAATATCCGTCAAGCACCATTCCTAGTGATAATCATCTCTGAAGAAATTGATTCCCCCTCTTAATGATGCAGTATCAGCCGCTTGCACTTGTACCAGCCACGCTCTTCTGCAATCTCATACACGGTGTACATATCCTTTCCCCTTCCATGCACAGAAGCCCCATTCGAAAGAAGGAATTCAACATCCCTGACATGCCCGCATTCAGTGGCGTAGGTCAGTGCTGTGTTCATGTCGCCAGTTTTCGACCTGCCATCGATATCCGCGCCGTTTGCAAGCAAGATAAGAGCGAGATCATAGCGTCTGTAGATCAGAGCTAGTCTGAGAGAAGTTGATCCCCTCAACGACAATCCAGCAGGGTGGGCATTTGAATGAATTATGTTGTTTTCGAGTAAATATGCGAAAATTCTTCCCCTGCCGAATTTGTAGAGAGCCAGATAGTCGGTACCATGGATAAGAAACGTCTTTGATTTGCGAAGTGTTTTGCTGCTGGAATATATATCGGACTTTTCGCAGAGGACATCGAACAGCGATTTAGGGGTACCCTCTTTCAGATGCTTCTTGATAGACTCATCCACGATATAATGCGACGTTGACCGCAAGAGCTTTTCGGAACTGTCGATGAAGTTGAGAATCATGTTCCTAGCTTCGATCTTCTCCTTGCGAATTGCCAGTCGAAGCGCATTCCCAAGTGCGTAATTAGCATTTGACGTTCCATGGTCTGGACCTGAAGCTTGTGTTACGCTTGGATTATCCTGCAGATAGTTGAGCATGACACGAAGTGTCTGGGAAGAATCGAAGACCACGGCAGCGTTCAGGGCGTTTGGCAATAGCCCACACGATGGTGAAAAAATATTTGAGGAAACAGTGACATGTTTCAATAATATGTCAGTGTCCCCCAAAGCTGCTGCAATGGCAGGTATAGTGTCGCTCATTGTTCCAACCATTACAGCTTCGTTTCCGTCGTTGTTGTCTGTAAGGTATTGTTTGAGAGAGTGGTCTTCTAAGAGCAACACCATATCGCACAGCCTGAGTGCGCACTGATTGCGCCGCATCTCTTGATCCTCTCCTTTACTCAACCCTTGAGATAATGCAAATTGCACACAGTCCTCAAGAAATTTGAGTACTGCATTATCTTGGACACCACCACGAAGGACCCGCTTCGCCATGATGACGCGTCCGTAGATTTGAAATACGTGCGTGAGGCCGGGGCTCTCAAAGAGCTCATTGAACGTGATTCAGGAAGCCTGATCGCAAATCTCCTCAACGATGCAGCGATCAAAGGTTCCTGTGACGATCAGCGTCTTGAATTCCCACTGTAGACAACCTCAAGGACTTACTGCATACTTTGCGGTACTGGACTACCTTCGTCACCTCCAGTGAACCGACCAGAAAATGTGTAATGTGTTCAAACACCTCAAGCGGCAGTTCAAGCAAAGGCATTGTTGCTGAAATTTTGTAGCGGTTAGGGCAAGAATTTGTTAAGGGCAATTGTGGTAAAGAAGACGAGGATGTTGGCAGGAAAAGTTAATGTTTTTGTTTGTGAAGGATCCTCACCTGTCTTCATCTATTATTGACGTCATCAAATTACTGTTGAGTGATTTCGATTCTTTTAGAACATAGCGATAGTAAGTGTAAAACTCTGGGTGAAGGTGAATGTAGGCCTGGCACGATCCGATCTCGTATCTTCTGCATTACGTTGTATGGCTCCTAGAGAGGAGGCAGAGATTCCTAGTATACTCTTGATAAATAGGAGTGCGAGATTCGGGTATTTAACAAGATCTGTAGCAATCAAACACACTCTTCTATAAATATTTGGTAAGTATATTGAAAAAACGCTGCTCCAGGAGCCAAACTCCAGTTAATTTGGGACTTTGAAATGCCTGGTCAGTTCTGTTATACAAAGTAGAAAAGCATCCCTAAGTGAATAAATCATCTTTGATGCTTTTCCGACACGTATATTCGTAGGTATTGATAATTAGTTATATTAGATCAAAGCTTAAGACATGTTTTCCTCTTCTCTATATAATATTTTCCCTCTTAGACACAGTATTGAAGTGCTTGTAACTTCTGTATATTTCCTTAACCGATAATGAAGAAGAATCACATGTTATTTAAGGTAGGTTGAGCAGCTGCTCTATCTGATCTAACTACTTTCAACGTCTATTCAATGTTGATATTTAATGCAATTGGAGTATTGAGTGAAAACACTAGACTTGGGTCATCTACAATTATCGGATTGGCATTCTGCCTTAGCGGGCCCCTTATCCTATGTACGCTAATCTAACCTTAGTAGATATTACTAAGATAGTGATAAGGTGTTTAACCTGTCACATATGAGAAGCTGTAATGCTCTTCCTAAACATTAAATATGTTATATCATGGCTGATTCATATAGTGTGTAGAAGGATGAGGGTATAGGACGTCACTACTGTTTTATTATGTGCACTCTACTGCGTTGTGAAAGCCGCTGCGTCAGCACATTAAAATCACTCATAAGATAAATAAGAAATTGTGATAGTGTGTTGGTACCTAAGCTACATTAAGCTAGCCCTATCATTTACGATCTTCGTGTTATCTTTTAGTATACGAGGCTTGTCGCAAAGGGCTAGTGCTAGTAAGTTAAGGTAATAATGTAGTTAGAAGCGTTCTGTAATACAAGCCTTAAGTTCACAATCCCCCACTTACTATAAGCACTAGGACTTTCTTGTTTAAGAGTTTTCCCCTGAAATTTCAACAACTTATATTTAAAAATCAAAATCCTGAAAATTATCACACTTCAAATTAGTCCCTAAAACCAGTTCTGAAGGGTTAAAGAAACTATGGTGGCTTCAAAGATGAATCTTCTCTTTTTATTCGCAGCAACTGCAGTAGCAACCTGGGATGTGAATTGCCGTCCAGAAGGCAATTATTACTTGGGTCCTTGCATGGAGACCTGTAATCGAAATAGCGCACAAGACGTACAAACATGCGCCTATGTTTTATGCAGCGATTGCTATGCAGATTATTAGAATCCGCTGCTATATCACGGTCGGTCGATAATACGCATTCTAAGCGCTGGCTAATGACTATAGCAGGTTAGGCAAGTTGGGCCAATGTTTTTAGAGGTGATATAGATACAATAGAGCCTGATAACCTAAGGGTAGTTTGCCTAAAGAAAAGATAGCATGGCATACAAGTCGCATATTTCGCTCAGCAGAATCGTCACTGCGGAACAGACCCATACGAAGCCTGTTCGTAGCCCTAGTATTATTGTGGAGTAGGGTTAGGGGTCAGTGGATGATCGCAATGAACAGTTGTTAGAAACCCTTGATCGATAAATCATCGAATTACCTATCCCAGAATATCTCATATGGTTCCTTAAACAAGTTATCTCTGTGGAGTTCCAACCACTTTTAGGTCGAGAGGTTGTTGAAGGTTCAGCTGTATATTATGGTCGAGTCATGTGATATACACTTCCTACAGCATCCATATTGTGCGGGGAACATAACGCTTGTTGTCTGGATTAAGCTCTCGTCTGATTACCTCTGATGCGTGGGTATCACATAATTTCCTCGCGCTGATGCAATTTAGTAGTAGTAACCTTCCTTTGGGCCTGCACAGCTGCCTACCACCACGACTATCGCAATGATAGCTATGATTACGGTTCGTGCAGCAGCTACTCATACATACAGGTACAATACCATCAAGTAACAGCTCAAATAGCTTCGGTGTTGGTGCTGGTTTACTACCCAATAGTTTCTTATATTGCCAGCATCATAACATGCGGTGAAAGATTCATGTCAGAGGTCAACAGCAGCATCTTCGGACCGAAACAACCGCCAGATCCGCAAACCCAAATGTCACCCCATAAGACGTTGCTGTAGAACCGAAACCTTATTCTAAGTCAGCATGGGATATTTATTGGAGCAAGCCCTTTCAGAACAATGTTGACCTCCGCTTCAGTGAAGGGGACAGTGTATTGCCATCTTTTCACTGATAGTATATTCACTACCTATCCAACTAGTATCATCACATAGCAGTTTTAGCCCCCTAAACCTCCAAGCCACCTGGTACCGTTTGTTCTCATTTGTGGGTAACATAACCGAGCAGCCTTCGCCATGTTGTTCAAAAACATAATCACAATGAGCTTCGTCGCCGGCGCTGTCGCATCTCCCGGAATGATTTTCAACTGTGCAGATGATTTCCAAGGTTTCTACCGCTTTTCACAGCGTTACTTTACATGCTCACCATCTCTCAGACGTCTGCGACAACATGTGCTGGGGCGCTTTCTGCACGCAACCCACGTTCGGCTCAGTGCTTAATTTTGATGAGTTCGGCGGCACAGGCAATTATTATTATTATTATTATTATTTTAATTTAACGTCCTTTCTCAGCCCTAGGGCTATATAGGACGTGTAGACCAGAGGTCTACAAGTATCTACGTGTTTCTATTAATTTGATGTAGGTGGGGGAGGGGGTTATCTAAATAAAGGTAAGGCTCGTAGCCTAGTGTATTAGATAGTAGTAGGGGGTCTTGCGGGTGGTAGGTGAGGTAAGGTAGGTGTAGGGCAGGTACTAGTGCTAGTGGCGCCCTAGTTGTTGGTGTCTCCTTTGTACTAGGCTTGTGTCCTAGCTTTTATCTCTTTAATAAACCTAATAGTCGCCTATATACCTATACTAGTTTCTAGTAAGAAGGCTAGTAATAGTAGGCCCTTGCTCGTTTCTTATATCTTCTTTCTAGCTTCTTTTGTAACGGGCTGAACGCCCTTTGGATAGCTCCTCGATGGAATCTCGGTCAAGCAGCAGACGCCAGGTCTTACTCTGCAACCCGGCATCTGTGCGAGGCCTGAGCGGCGCCCAGACGACGCGCTCAGACACTCGGTGCAACCTTTCTCCGACAAGTAAATAAACACCACGCAAGTAGACTCTATAGCTCTCTATCGAATACAACCTCTTGTATACCTCGCGATTGCTCCCTAGAGCGCAGCCCCTTACACACGTCTTATATAGCCCTTCGGGCTGAAAAAGGACGTTAAACTAGAATAATAATAATAATAATAATAATAGCTAAGACTGCAAGATTCTATAAGCTAGAGTCTCTAAAACAACTACTTTATTAAACTAGAATATTAAAAGTTCTATAAATAAATGTTAATAGAAATAGCCCTGCTATAGAAAGCGCGCTAAATCTAGCTATTTGTAACGGGCTAGGTAGCCCGCTACAGTACAGATAGCGGTGGCTATCTTATGTATCAACTACGCAACGATATCAGCAGCTCTGATATCTTGTGCCAGCCTTTTTGGCGCGGTGGGCGCGTTGTAGTTGCGTGCGCAGTCTAATAGGACTCGACCCGTTACACTATTCAAGTAGACGCTAAGATACTAGCTATATAAGAGCCCTAGTTAGTAAAGGAATTTACCTACAAGAATACTAGATCAGTAGCCCACTAGGACTATACTCAGATAATACCTACCCTAAGAGATAACTCTCTTAGGCCTAGAGTACTTTTCTATATTAGAAAGGATCTAGAAGTAGAAACTATTCCTTTTATTAGCGACGACAACGACTTCTAAGCTATTAAAGTACTAGCTACTCCTTCTAGCTTCTATATCTACAACATTTATAACAAGAAGAGCCTCTAAAAGAAGCTAGAAAAATCAACAATCTAAAGGCGGCTACTATAAGAAACACTACAAGAAAACTTAATTATTCTAGGAGATTTTAATACCTACTATCCTAGATAGAGCTTAAAAGATTGCAGCCCTAGTATACTAGCAGAAGATCTAGTAGAGTAGATAGATACCTAGAATCTTACTCTACTAAATACTCTAGGAGTAGGCACATTCTTTAGAGCTTATATGCAACAAGAAAGCGTACTAGATCTTACTTTTGCAATAAATAATATAGCAACTAGTATCTAGGACTAGCAGACTATACCTAAAGTAGGATACAATCACCACGCTATACTATTTAGTATTAGCACTTATAGCTAGCTGCCTAGCTAGCTAAAACGATATAATACTAGACAAACAGACTAGAATACGTTCTACAAGGAGCTAGAAAAAGAGATTAAAGCTCTAGACCTAGAAGAGCGGCTACTCCAACTACCACGCCCCTCTAACTATACCTTAAGAAAGCTTATTCTAGAACAACATACCCCTCTAGAAGCTAAGCTAGACTAACTAGGAGAGGATCTTACAAAGGCTATCTAGAAATCACTAGAAACGTTAACTCTACTAGTTAACTAAAAACTAAAGCCAAAACCTTGGTGGACTAGTGATTTAAGTAGCTAAAAAAGAGATCTAAATAGGGCCTATAGAGCCTACAAGAAGGAAGCAGCAAAAGAAAATAACAGCTTACTCTACTAATAGAAACGAGAGTATCTAAGTACGAAAAATAGATATCTAAGAGCTATTAGACGGGCTAAACAGGATCACTAGGAGACTTTCCTACAAAAAGA